TTCGCAAGGGACAATGTTTCAACTGCCACTAGCCGGGTCACCAATCTCACGATTGCCCCCGAAAGAAGCAGATAAAGAAGAACGACGAGGACAGGTCGGGAAACGCCAAGCGTCAGTAGCGGTCGGGCCCCCTACTGACCCTGTCTCATCGCCCGAAAAACAGCATCCCCACCGAGTAGTGGTTCCGATACATGCTATCAACCGCTCCCGGCTGAAAAGGGAGGATGACCCAGTGGACCACCCTGTACTGGCAGAAGGACGACTTCAGGGACGAAAAATAAAAATATTCATCGACGGAGGTGCGAGTCATAGCCTGATAAATCGAGAGACAGCACGACGACTACACCTGACGCTGGAGAGGTGTCTACCCGAAATCGACGCACGATTGGTGGACGGCACCCCGCTGGCGATACGCGACAAAGTACCTGTCGTTCGAATGAAGTGTGGCGAAGATTTTGGTTTCAGCGCGCCGATGCTGGCGACAACGCTCGACGGTTACGACGTGCTATTGGGACGCGACTGGCTGCGACGATTCAACCCACAGATCGATTGGACAACAGGCGAGTGCACAGTGAAGTGCGACAAAGGTTGGCGAAAATTACCCACGTGGCCGGAAGCAGAGACAACATCGACACGAGTCAACGCGGTGTGCCTCAATCGAGCGGTCAAGAATGGAGCGGATTTATACACCGTCCATCTAATCGAATCGACGGAGCAGAATTAGGCGACCGACATCAACAAACTCTGCGCCTCGGTCCCGGATGACTTGGCGAAAATCATTCGAGAATATCCTGAGATCTTCCCGGACGACTTGCCAAGTGGACTGCCACCCGAACGACCCCAGGACCACAAAATCGAGCTGGAGCCCGGCGCGCAGCCTACTGTACGCACGCAATGGCGCCGGACTCAGCCGGAGCTACAGGAGTTACGAAACCAGTTGGACTACCTGCTGGCGAAAGGGTTCATTCGGCCGAGCACGTCCCCGTTCGCAGCACCGATCCTGTTCACACCAAAAAAGGACGGTGGACTTCGCATGTGTACGGATTATCGTGCCCTTAATCGGGTAACGATTAAATCGCGCTACCCAATCCCACGAACGGACGAACTGATCGACAACCTTCGCGGAGCTCGTTACTTTTCGAAGATCGACCTTCGTGGCGGTTACCATCAAATTCGAGTGTTCGCTGACGACTGCCACAAGACCGCGTTTCGTACTCGCTATGGGAGTTACGAATACACGGTGATGCCGTTTGGATTAACGAACGCCCCCTCGACGTTTCAACTCACCATGAATGGGGTATTCCGCGATCTACTCGACAAATGCGTGATAATTTACTTGGACGACATCCTGATCTACAGCAAGACTCGGGAGCAGCATTTACAAGATTTGGAAGCGGTTTTTCAGCGGTTGCAGCAGCATCGACTCATCACCAAGGGCTCCAAGTGCGAGTTTTTAAAACAAGAACTGGAGTTCCTGGGGCATGTGATATCCACGGAGGGGATTCGAATAGACCCGAAAAAACTCCGGGCTATTCAGGAGTGGCAACCGCCAACAAATCTGCAGCAGCTGCAATCCTTTTTGGGTTTCGTGAATTACGTGCGGAGGTTTATACCCAACATGGCGGGGTTAACTGGACCTCTAACCGACCTACTGCAGAAGGGAACTTTTTACGAGTGGGGGGAGAAGCAGCAAGCTGCGTTTGAGGCATTAAAAACTCTTTTAATGTCGCCACCGGTGCTTCGCATCGCTGACTCGGAACGGCCCTTCGAAGTCATCACCGACGCAAGTGACATCGCCATCGGAGCAGTGCTCATGCAGGATTTCGGCAACGGGCTTCAACCAATCGCGTACGAGTCTCGGAAAATGCAATCTGCTGAGCGCAACTACCCAGTACACGACAAGGAGATGCTGGCGATCGTCCACGCGTTCAAAATCTGGCGGTGCTACCTGACTGGAGCAGACGTGACGGTGCGAACCGATCACAAATCACTACAGTACCTGAGGGCGCAGCCGAATCTCAACCCGCGGCAGATACGCTGGCTGGACTATCTGGAGTCAAATTTCACGTACAAGATCACGTACAAAAAGGGCGCCAACAATATTGCCGACGCCCTTTCCAGTCCATCTGCCCAACTCGCAGCAGTACTAGTCGCCCAGAGCAACCCGCTGCTGAGTGGACTATTTACCCACGGGTATTCGACTGACCCCTTCTTCGTAAACGACGGCCATCTCCCAATCACTACGCGGAAAGGCGTCTATTACTTACGAAGCGGGACTGATCGAATTTGGGTCCCAAGTTATCGTCTACTTCGCGAATTATTAATTCAAGAAGTCCACGATTCGAACTTATCGGGACATTTCGGGGTTGATAAAACTCTGAAGGCGTTGCAGCGTTTTTATTACTGGCCAGATATGGTGACGGGCGTGCAGCGTTACGTGGCCGCGTGTCCGATCTGCCAGCGAATGAAATCCTCACACCAGCGACCAACAGGACTGTTGCAGCCCCTCGAGCCACCTCAACGCCCATGGCAACACGTAACGATGGATTTCGTTACGGGACTACCGGCCGGATCTAGCGGAAACGACGCGGTTTTGGTTGTCGTCGACCGATTGACGAAAATGGCGCATTTCGCACCATGTCGTACAACCATCACAGCCGAAGAAACAGCGCGCCTGTTCATCTCGACCGTCGTTCGACTACACGGGATACCAGCAGCAATCATTAGCGATCGAGATCCGAAGTTCACGTCCAAATTCTGGCAGGACACGTGGGCTCGGTACGGCACGCGTCTACAGTTCTCATCCGCGTATCATCCACAAACGGACGGCCAGACGGAAAGGACAAATCAAACGATGGAGCAGCTAATTCGGACAAACTGCCCCGACCGAAACAAATGGGAGGACGTGCTGCCCATGTTGGAATTTTCCTACAACAACGCGCCCTCGGCCACGACTAATCATTCCCCATTTTATCTCAATTACGGGATGGACCCTACAGTGCCGATCTCCACCAACGTTGAGAGTCAAGTACCACGATCGCAACAGTTCGTCGAAGAATTACAGACTGCCCGAGACAAAGCTGTCGAACTTATTCGCAAGGCGAACGCAACCGCCCGACGGTATGCAGATTTACATCGACGGGATATTACGATGACGACAGGGCAACTAGTCCTTCTGGACACCAAGAATTTACGACTACCATTACCGACGAAATTACGACCACGTTTCTGTGGCCCGTTCAAGATCGTAAAGATGGTGACGCCGGTGACCGCCCAGTTGCGCCTACCTGATGACTGGCGAATTCACAACAAATTCCACGTGAGTCTGTTGCGACCCTTCGTGCCTGACACGTCGGACATCGCTCGACAGCGATTGGTTCCAGACGTACGGCCACCAGCCGAGACGACCATCGAGCCTTCGAAGATCTTGAGCCATCGGATTCGTATCGACGGTCAAGGACGACACGTTGACTTTCTGATACGATGGACCAATCGTACCAGTGAGGACGACACGTGGGTGCCCTCGGACCAGATACAGTCACCTTCGATACTTTCGAATTATTTGGACCGCAAGCACGTGGTTGATATAGTTCACCTTCGCTAAGGGGGGGGGGGTGGTGTAAGGAATTTTCCATTCCTTACCGAGCGGTACTGCTAGCGCGTACGCTCGAACACAGCTGACCTTCTGACAAGCCTCGGGACTGTTCCAGACCTTCTGACAGAACCGCCTCGGTTTTTCCAGACTTACCGGTTCGACCTTCGGGAGTTCTCCAGGCCTCGCTTCGTCACTTCGAGACCCTTCGATCTCCTTCCCGAACCTTCCCATCGCATGGTTAGACTAGCTCTGGTGTTCCTATATCTTGGCTTGACATTCCTTGTATCGTCATTCATTTGAGTGAACACTTCGTTATTCATTTCCGCGCTACTCTGCTTGTTCATTCATAACAATTGGGGGGCTGGTGTTTCTCCACCTACCCATGGGAACATAGTTTGCCGCTTATGTTTAAAACTGAGGATCTGTATTGAGTGGGGTATAACCGCTTGCACCGAATATTATTTGGCTTGTCACCTCAGCTTGTGGCATTCAATTTTGGATCCGCTGAATTCTGGCCGTTTTATCGGGGCAGTTTCCAAAACTCGGACGTTTATCGCTGGCCGACTGAAGTGGACCTTTCAAGAAAGTGTCGGCGGTGGGACGTGCAGCCAGGAGGGCAGTGCATGACACAGGAAGTTGGGAAGCCCATCCACATCATCTCCGTCTCGCTTCAGGGCGTGTCCAGTCGAAGGGATCGGGTAGATTCCGCACTCGGATCAGGCCTCGAGGCATAACTGCGGGGCATCCGCTATACGAACTGGATGACCTAAAGTGCAACCTTGGGTGACCTCTTCCGTATGACTAATGACCCGAAGTTAGCCTCGAGGATCTCTCCGAGAGAAAAACACGCTTAGGGACCATCCTGAATTACCACGCTTGAGGCGATGTGTGGGATTGAGCTGCCCGCTTGCGAACAGCGTGCTTGAGTTGAGTCGCCTCTCTAGGAACGTGCACCAAATGCACAGTGGATTCGGGCAGTCGGTGCGGGCAGATCAAGCAAGCTTTGCGGAGCAGTGTGTTTGCGGATCACCTGCGGGTCTCTCACCATCTGAGGTGATCCTCCCCCTGCCGCACTCACCTGACCGCCAACCTCCCCTGCCGCAAAGCGCCAAGAGAGACCACCACACCTTGCCCCCACTCACCGACTTCCCCCCAGTAACCCCACCTGGAGCAACTCCTGCAGGACGGCCCGCCAACGCCCTCATCTCTAGCCCTGCTGCTGCCGACACTCCCTACGCTTGCCCCCTACCCAACACCACCCCCCCCCCCCCCCCCTCCCCCCCCAATCTCCTCCTCAAGCTGCACCTCCCCCCATCCCAAGGCTGGGGGAGGGAGCGCCAGGCGAGCAGCCCTGGCTGCGAATCCATCAGGACAATTCTGCAAGATGGGTCTTCGAAAGGTATCCTGTGAAGGGCATGAGTGGTTTATCAGAGTGGCAAGGTTCTGTGCTCACCAAACAGTCACCTCATAATCTTCTGTGATCAAGCTCTCTATCTACTGTCGGAGGTAACCGGTAGCTTTCCCGATCTAAGCTCTCGGGGCAAGAATGGCGCATAAAACCATGGCCGCGTTGCTGGCGCTGCTGCTACTGTTGCATGTCACGGGAAGCTTTGCCGCCAGTGTTGCTTCGAGAGAGAGTGAGTCCAGCCTTGAGGCGCGTGTGCGTGTGAGTCTAGCCTTGAGGCGCGTGCGCTTGCGAGTCCAGCCTTGAGGCGCGTGTGCATGTGAGTCCATGTCCACCGTCGCACGCCACGCCGCATCCAGCAGTGCTTTTGCCACCGCAGTTTTCACTTTCCGTGGTCGTCACCGAAATCTTGCCTGTCACGCGGACACTCCCAGTCAGCCCGCTCCCGTGGTCCTCGGCGATTAGCCTCCGTGCCCTGTCTGGCCTGTCTTCCACCCACCACCCCCCCTGCTGTTGCGTGCATCTGGCAGCCAACGCGCTGCTGTCGCTGAAGTTGACGATGAACGCCAACACGATTCTGACCACGTGGAAGTTCGGCACCTTCGCGTGCGCAGCGAAATGGAAGGGCGTCACGTGCAAGGCCGGCGCCGTCGTCGGCCTGTCAGTCCGCCCCGCCCCTTTCTCACCTTCCGCTTGCTCGTCGCCTGCCGGCCCTTGTCCCACCCCACACTGTCGCCCTTACCTTCCTCACCCACCGATTTTCCGTCTCTCTCTATTCTCCCACCCGCTCGACTCCCCATCTACCGTGTCGCGTGGCCGTGCTCTTGTCTGTCCTCCGTGCCGTCTCGCGCTGGCCGGTCGCCATGGTCGCATGTTAATGCGTGTGCGGCGATGCCTTGCGGGGTGGCAGGTCGCTGCCGAAGATGAAGCTGGGCGGCACCATCGGCTCGGCCGTCGGCTACCTCAACAACCTGCTGTCGCTGTAAGCTCCACCCCTCCCTGCCCGCGCGCCCACGCCCGTCCCTGCTTCGATCGCACCTACCTGCCCATCTCGTAGTTGTCGCACCGCGCTCTTGCTGATTGATCATGGCGCTCGCATTTGAGTTGCTCGAGTCGCCCGTGCGCCCCGCAACAGGGACCTCTCCGGCAACTCCATCGGCGGCGATATCCCCAGCGAGGTGGCTTTCTGCAACAAGCTCATGTCCCTGTATGTTCTCCCACCCGTGCCCTGCCCACCGCGCACTTCTCTACACCACCGTTCCTACACAACCCTCCTCCCTCCCTCCTCCCTTCCCCCTCCTTTTCCCCCCACGCCCTTCCCCTTCGTTGCGTCCAGTAAATACGTTTCCGTTCCAGTTTCCTCTTTCGCTTGTAACATTTTCTATTCGTCCCTCTCTCACTCGCTGTCAGTCTTCTCTCCCTCCATCCCATTCCTCTCGCCGTTCCCAACACATCTCCTCTCCCCCCTCACAAGCCCCCTCTCACCCCACCCCTCCTCGCCCTCTCCCCTCTCGCGGTCTGCAAGTCTCTCTCACCTGTATTTCGTACAAGCTAAGCCTTGCGATGTTCCTTTCCGTGCTGCCCCTTGCCGTTACAGGAAACTCAACAGCAACAAGCTCTCGGGCCCCATTCCTCCCCAGCTCGCGAATCTCCAAAACCTCAACACCATGTAATCACCCCCTCGCGCGCCTTCGCTACACTTGGCCTCCATTCCCCATTCCGGCTCCTTCTCCTCACGGCGCGTCGCAGCCGGCTCATTCGTTATTCATGTGCTTTCACAACAGCTGTGCTGTGTCTTAACGTGTTCCTGCGTGCGGGTGTGCTTGCGCTTGTACGTGTGCGTGCGGCTCCCGGGGTACGCGGTGCCACAGCATGTTGGGCAACAACGCGCTGACGGGTGCACTGCCGATAGAATTCTTCAGCATGAAGAAGCTCGGCACGCTCTACCTCAACAACAATAAACTCACGGGCCGCATCGCCGATCTCACTGGCGTGCCTACTGCGTCCCTCGTTGACGTGTGAGTCAGCGCTACGCACTAGACGTTGACTTCGCCTTCCGTCTTCTTTCCTCCACCGTGCAATCCATCTCCGCCATTCCTCCTTCCAGATATCTCTGCCCCCCCAATCCCAATCCCCTCCTTTCCAGTTCATACCCCCCTTTCCCTCGCTCCCCTCTTCTCTCTCTCGTACCGGCTGGTTCTTTCTCTCCTAAACTTTGTTGTCTCGCCCGCCCGTGCGTGCTCCGCAGTGACCTGTCCACCAATCAGCTCAGCGGCCCCCTGCCGCCCCTGATCGTGCGCTCAGGGCGTCTCTCGAATTTGTGAGTGCCTTGCTGAGCTCGTCGCGCTGCGCACCTGCACTTTCCTGAGTCCTGCCTCTGAAGGATTCTCCTAGTTGTTGCGCCTTGGCAATCGGGAGCAGTGAGTGGCCCACTGTGATGGCTTGGGTGGTTCAAGAGAGCAGCAAGTATAACCGCCCATGCATGTCAACGTGTGTTCGCCCTCGTGCTACAGGAACCTGGCCAACAATCAGTTCAGCGGCGGTTTGCCAGCTGGCTGGCTGGGATTGAACAAGCTTAAGACCTTGTAAGCCTCAGTTCTGAAATCTCCTTCCTAAATCGGTAGTTTTATGCTGACGCCTGACTCCTCTCTTTCCTGTTGTCCTTTGAGACATTGGATCATTAGGAATCTCTATACTGCGTTTCCTAGTAGCCGAGGTCCTGATGACTGCACGTCTGCACGGTGACCCCCATCAGGTCGGTGGCCAATAACGACCTGACTGGGCCTATCCTCCCTGGCATCGCGTTCCTCAAGGCGCTCACAAAGGTGGACTTCTCCAACAACAAGCTCTCCGGCACTGTCGGGAAGAACTTCAAGAAGTTCAAGACTGGGTAAGTTTCCCTTATTGCCCGCTCGCTCGGCCGCGGTAACCTCAAGCTGGACCTGACCTAAAAATCATGATGTTGCACTTGTATGATGCAGGTTCAAGGGCAATGCCAAACTGTGTGTGGACTTCAATGCCGATGGTAAATGTGAGGTGGCTGCCTAGGCCGCCACATCCAATGCTGCGCTTATGCCATTTCTGTATGTCCATCTGTACCTACAGCTGTCTTGTTCTGCACGTAATAACCTGAGAATTAGTGCTGTGCTAGTAATATCTTGTAATTGGAAGGTAGGTACAAATGTGCATCGGTGATATGTATCATTAGAGTGGGTCGTTCTATGCAATTTTCAGTTACACCAGTGTGTACCTGCTAGAAATAGCACTGCTCGCATGAAGCAGAATGCGGTATGCCGATAACAGAAACTACTGGAAGGTCCAGTTTCATGTTCAGTGCCTGTGCAGCTTCACAAGGCCCACCTGACTACAGGGAGAACCATAACCAAGGGTTCAAGAACACCAAGATGAGCATGAATTGTGAACGATATAGATGGATGCAACATAAGCTGGCAGAGCAGTATTAGTAGAATGCTAGAATAACTTGAATGCAAGGGTTCAATAGAATATAGACTACTTAGTTGTACCCTCTACGGTACAAACTCATACAGTCTACAATAACATACTAAGTTATGTTTTGCCACACCCCCTTTGTTAGAATGCAAGAATGGTTGACTAGTGTGAGAAACCTAGAACATATTGTCAACTTATTCATATTAGCTATGTAGAAATTATAGGCTAAACTTGTGTATGCTCCTAGTCAGTACAACCAACTAGTATTTGTTCTAGGTTTCTACTTCTAGTTATCATTCAATTCTTACTTTAACATGGTATTAGAGCGTAGGTTAGAATCCCCCACCTACCGCTTCCGCCCGTACCCTAGCTAGGCCTCGCCGCGCCCCCCCCCTCTGGGCACCGTCACGCCTCCTAGCCCCGTCGCGCCTCTTAGCCCCGTCGCGCCCCCCTGGGCCCCGTCGCGCCTCCTAGCCCCGTCGCGCCCCTCCTGGGCCCCGTCGCGCCTCCTAGCCCCGTCGCGCCCCTCCTGGGCCCCGTCGCGCCCCCCCCTGGGCCCCGTCGCGCCTCCTGGCCCCGTCGCGCCTCCTAGCCCCGTCGCGCCCCTCCTGGGCCCCGTTGCGCCTCCTAGCCTCGTCGCGCCCCTCCAGGGCCCCGTCGCGCCTTCTTGCCCCGTCGCACCTCCTAGCCTCGTCGCGCCCCTCCTGGGCCCCGTTGCGCCTCCTAGCCCCGTCGCGCCCCTTCTGGGCCCCGTCGCGCCCTGCCTGGCCCCGTCTCGCCCTGCCTGGCCCCGTCGCGCCCCTCCTGGGCCCCGTCGCGCCCTGCCTGGCCCCGTCTCGCCCTGCCTGGCCCCGTCGCGCCCCTCCTGGGCCCCGTCGCGCCCACAAGGCCCCGTCGCGCCCTGCCTGGCCCCGTCGCGCCCGCCTGGCCCCGTCGCGGCCAGCCTGGCCCCGTCGCGCCTGCCTAGCCCCGCCGCGCCTGCATGGCCCCTCCGCACCTGCCTGGCCCTGCCGCGCCTGCCTGGCCCACGCCGCGCCTGCCTGGCCCCGCCGCGCCTGCCTGGCCCCGCCGCGCCTGCCTGGCCTCGCCGCGCCTGCCTGGCCCCACCGCGCCTGCCTGTCCCCGCCGCACCTGCCAGGCCCCTCCGCGCCTGCCTGGCCCCGCCGCACCTGCCTGGCCCCTCCGCGCCCGCCTGGCCCCGCCGCGCCTGCCTGGCCCCGCCGCGCCTGCCTGGCCCCGCCGCGCCTGCCTGGCCCCGTCGCGCCTGCCTGGCCCCGCCGCGTCTCCCTGGCCTCTCCCACTGCCCGCTCGGCCCCTCTTCGTGCCCTCTCGGCCTGCCGTGCCACCTCGGGCTCCGTCTACTATGCTCGCCAGTGCTGGGGCGCCTCACGGCAGCCGTGCTGGAGAGTGCTGCCACCGTGTCCCTGCGTCGCTGTGTTCCTGCGGAGCTGTGGAGCTGTGCTGCTGACCCTGCACGATGGCTGACTTCGTGCTCCGACTGGACGCCGAGGGCCATGCGGTTGACTTCGTCGCCTGGCTCTCCGATCTCCGCCGCCACCTTACAGGTCAGCGCCAGGATGGCCACTCCTTGGTTGTCCATGTCGATGGCTTGCTCCCCCGCCCCCCCGCACCTGCTCCCCTCCCTGCTGACCCCTCATCTGATGACCGTGAGGCCTTCTCTACTGCTGCGCTTGCCTGTGCGGTCGGGCACTCCCGCGATGTAATCGCTTAGGTTGCCATTAGCCACGCCCTCCCTGTGTCTGAGCGCTCGCATTTTGCTACTGTTGAGACGGCCAAAGCTTACTTAGACATCGTCATTGCTCGCTATTCCACACCCGCGTCCGCTTCTGCTGGCCGCTTGCTTTTCCCGATGCTGTTCCCCGACCTTGCACCCTTCCCTACCGTCGCAGACTTTGCCACTCACCTGCGTGCCCTAGAGACCCGCTATCGCACTGCCAGCACTGCTGCCCAGCTCACTGCGCCCCCCCCCCCTTTCTGCATGACGCTCTATTTTATCGCCATGCGCCTGCCAGACCGCCTCGCTAGTGCTCGCGATCACTTCCTTAGCCAGCACCCGGGTGACCTCACCCTCACCGCCTTTATCGACACCCTCACCGAGATCGAGACTCGCAAGCGCACTATCGCTCAGTCGAGCGGTGCGCCGGCAGTCTCTATCTTTCACGGCTGTGCCCCCTCCCACTGCACGTTCACTGACGTTTCGGCTGCGGTCGCCACGGCGACCCCTCTAACCGAGAAGGCTGCTGCGGTCCACACGCAGTGGCTCACGCCGCAGTGGCCGTGGTCGCCAGGGAGGTAGGGGTGGTGGCGCAGGTGGTGGTGGTGGTGGTCGTGACGGTAGTCTGCCTGAGGGGACAACCACCGGTGGACAGGAGCAGCAACCCCAGCCGCAGCAGCCGCCGTCCCAGCAGCAGTCGCCGCAGCTGTGGGCCCGTTTCCCGCCTGTTTGGCCCGGCGCCTCTGGAGGTAGTGGCCGTGGTGGCGGCCCCCGTAGCTCGGTGTCTACCGGTGGCTCCGGTGCTGTCACTTGCCAGTACCGGCTTCAGACCGGGCCTCTCCGCGGCACTCTGTGCCGCCGCCCGCACCCGACCGCCCGCTCTTTCCGTCGCCTCGACGATCTCTTTCGTCGTCGCTTTGGCCCGGCCCCGGACCTCCCCGACTGGAACAGCCTGCTCCGCCAGGGCGTGCCGATCTTTGAGTTAGACATGGATCAGATAGGTGTTGCTTTGCATGCTTTGTATTCTGACGCTTCTAGTGTTGCTGGATCTTATTACCCTCTGTACTCTAGTTTAGGTGTTGCACCGTTGTGTAGCTTAGCCTCCCCTGCTGCGTCAGGCGTAGGACTGCCTAGCTTGCCTAGCCTAGTCTCTGCACCGGCCTCCGCCACTGCTTCGCTGTCCTTCACTCTCGACTCCGGTGCTTCTGCCGGCTTCTTCCGCAACTGTTCCGCGCTCACGCGGCTTGCTACGCCTGCTGTTGTCTCTCTCGCTGACCCCTCTGCGGGTCCTGTCGTTGCTCGCAGTTCTACGTCCCTTCCCTGTCCAGCAGTTCCCTCGGGCTCCCTTACAGGCCTCCACGTTCCCTCGTTCTCGAGGAACCTGGTTGGTGTCGGCTGTCTCCAGAACCTCGGCGTCACCACCACGTTCCCGGGCACGAGCGGTTCGCTGTCTGTTCTGAGGCTGTCTCAGGTTCCCCCCTTGCGACGTTCCCCCGGGACCCGGTGTCCGGTCTGTTTACCCTCGACATCGCTCCCCCCCCGGTTGGTGCATCCTCCCAGGTCGCTGCAGCTTGCTCGTGTCGGTCCCTCACTTACCCGTCCCTCCTCTGGCACCACCGTCTAGGTTACCCTGCTCTCCCACGTCTGCGTCACATGTCCCAGCACGGTCTTGTCTTAGGTCTCCCCGCGTCGCTCCCTGCCCTTCCTCCCTCGACTGCACTACCGTGCACGCCTTGCATCGAGGGCCGGCTCCGCCGCTCCCCTCACTCCTCCTCGCTGCGCCCTGCTACTGCTCCCCTTCAGACCCTGCACCTGGACGTTTGGGGCCCTGCCCCCGTCCCCGGACCGCGAGGTGAGCGCTACTTCCTTGTGCTCGTCGACGACTACACGCGCTACACCACGGTGTTTCCCCTGGAGCGGAAGGCCGACGTGCCTGACGATCTTCTACCGTGGGTTGTGGCTGCGCGTCTTCATCGCGGTCTCCCCGTGTTGTGTCTCCACTCTGACCGTGGCGGCGAGTTCGCCTAAGGTCGGCTTGGACAGTTCTGTCGAGCAGAGGGCATCACCCAGTCGTACACCTTGCCGGACTCACCACAGCAGAATGGGGTTGCTGAGCGCCGCATCGGCTTGGTCATGGAGGTCGCCCGTACCTCCATGATTCATGCCGATGCCCCCCCTTTTCTGTGGACGTTCGCTGTTCGCTACGCTGCTCACCAGCTTAACTTGTGGCCACGCACCCAGCGGCCGCAGGTTTCGCCGACCCTCCTTTGAACCGGGTCCCCCGGTGACACGTCTGCGTTCCACGTCTGGGGCTGCCTCGCTCACGTTTGTGCCTATGGCACGGACAAGCTCACTGCCCGAACTGTCCCCTGTGTCTTCCTCGGTTTCCCCCTGGACTCGTCTAACTGGCTTTTCTAGCACCCGCCGTCTCACCGCTTCCTCCACTCTCGTGACGTCACCTTTGACGAGTCTGTCTCCTTCTACCGCCGCTTCCCTCACCGAGGTCTCCCGGTTGCCCCACCCCTGTTCCTTGCTCCCTCTCCCCCGGTAGCCCCTGCTCCTCTCCCGCCTCGCCCTGCCCCGTCTGGTGTCTCCCACGTCACTCCCCTCCCGTCGGTTGTCCCCGTTGAGGAGTCCGCTGACTCTGGTGGTACCCCTGGCCCGTCTTTACCGCGTCCCCCTTCCCCGGTGTCTTCGCTTCCACTGTCGCAGTCGCTGCCTCCGCCGCCGCCGTCGCCACCGCTGTCGTCGCCGCTGCCGCCGCCCCGCTCTTGGCCCCTGGGGGTGCTGGTGTTGAGGAGGGTGTTCGTCCTGCGGCTCCTGGGGGGGCCGCTGGTCTTGGAGGGGGTTCTCGCTCTGGGGGTGTTGGTTCTGGGGGTGCTGCTATTGAGGGTTCCGCCGACGGTCGTCCTGCCTCTGCCGATCCGAGGGTTCCGGCCCAGCCGTCGCAGCAGCCGTCGCCGCCGGTCTCCGCTCTCCGCCTGCTCGGCCTTCCCTCCCCGGACCGCTCGCCGGTGTCTCCCCCACCGCCTGCTGACCTTCCTGTCTACGGTCTTGTGTTCCCACCGCCGGACTCGCCTCCGGCCCGTCTTCCTCCTCGTTCCCCTCCTGTGTCCCCTCCGCTGTCCCC